CCGTTCCCCCAACGTCGTTGACACTCGCGTCTCATGTTAACGTGGCAATAACGTAGTCTCATTAATGAAAACAGCGACGACGACGACGGCAACGACGACGACGACGACAGCGATGACGAGTAGATTCGATTGGCCGAGTTAAAGAGCGACTTTTTCGGGATCGACGATATTTTTAAACGACGATCGTCGGGGACATTTTTATTATTGGAGTTTCATCTGCAATAGTCCCGAGCGAGTAAGCCAGCAGATAAACGGCGCGCCCGCGCACTGTTTTCTTGGTATTTTAAACATCGCCGGATGGCTTGGCAAGAGGAAAGGTTTGCGCACGTGTGCATCGTTCGTTCCGCGGGAAAAAGGGGTGTGCAACGGAGTACTCGATCGGAAAAACTGCCGACGGATACGCCTTCGTTAAAGCCTCCGGGGTCGTCGTCGTCGTCGTCGTCGTCGTCGTCGTCGTCGTCGTCGTCGTCGTCGTCGTCGTCGTCGTCGCTACCACCACCGCCGCCGGCGGACGATAAAGGTTGACACGGTATCTCTTACAAGCCGGTCATTAGTCGAATGAGAGGAAGTCTTACGAAGTGCCTGCGTAAATATCCGTGGGACTGGCTGGTCATCAATCATCGTAGAATCCTTGCGAGGGCCGCGAGGCTACGCACGAAATTACGTATCGCCTTACGTCTCGCGAGATCCGCCCTGAACGGAGACGAAATTACACGAGCTCCTTAACGAACTATCACTCCTCTCTCTCTCTCTCTCTCTCTCTCTCTCTCTCTCTCTCTCTTCTTTCCCCGGACGAAAGAATTCCCACTCGTGGCGCTCACAGTATTTCCGGTGTCGAGCTGATACGTTATTTTACTTGAGCAGGAAAAATGTTTGAAACATTATTTATATGTCATTTATGCTTTTGCTGTTCATCGTTTGGCGAGATACCCTAAGGATAAGAAAATTATCGATTTGAAGGATTTTAAAAGTGCTCTGTAGTCTCAGGTACAAAAGATTTGTAGGGAGATATCAACAGGTACAAACTAGGTGGCATGAAGGAATTTGAAGTATCTTTTGCTTGATTTTTTCCTACGTCTTTGGTTTGTTTTATCTTTTAAATACTTATTTTTCAGTTCCATGCGAATGTCTCGCTATTCGATAGATGGACAATCGCTGAGAATTTCGACGGTCGATTCAGTAAGTCGATTTGACAGATTGATTCGATAGGCTGACAAATTGTCGACCAATTGCACTTGGTTCTAGCTACGCGTTTCCCATTCTTGTTTTTTCGACATATACAATCGTTGCTTGTGTCGCGTCGTATCGACTCTTGACTTCTATCACTCTCATTATTATCTTCGACTCATCAAGTGACGATAGAATCGGATGATCGTCACACTTATGCATCGGAAATTAGAGATTCGGTGAGATAATCAGAAGGGGAGAAAGAAAGACAACGTCAGAGGTATTATTCGCGACTCAATATTTCGGGAAACAGCGTTGATCTACTACTAAAAGAGAGAGAGAGAGAGAGAGAGAGAGAGAGAGAGAGAGAGAGAGAGAGGACGTAGTTGTAAAAGCGCGACACTGTTCGCGGCGTGGCGCTAATTGTTGGTGTACGTCATAAATTCCACAATCATTTTCGATCTTTTCCCATCGGGCAGTCGCCATTAACATGTCGATCGATATCGTTTCGTATTTTACATTGTGCGAAAGTGAATTTCGTATAGAAACAAGTACTGGAACTGTTGAAAATAGCGATGTATGATCACCAGAATGCATCGTAAGTACATTATTAAGAAGTAATCTACTCGTTTCTGGATATGTACAACCAGTGCTTGTCGCGACGTGTCGAGTCAGCGTCCCTTAGGCCTGATTTGCAATGTGTTCTTTGCTTCCCGTTTCTTATTTTGTCTTTTTTTTAACTTCTTTTGAAGCCTGATCTACAATATGCTATTTGCTTCCTGCTTCTTTCTCTTTATCTCTTTCTGACTCAAACTTTTCTGGCTTAAACTTTAAGTCAGAAAAAGATAGGAGACAAGAAACAGAATGCAAAGAGCATATTGTAAATCAGGCTTAAGGTTTAAGACTTGAGTCAAAAAGAGATAAAGAAAAAGTAACAGGAAGCAAATAACACATTACAGATCAAGCTTTACAAACTTGTTAGTAGCATCGATTGACTTAGAGTCGGACAATCATCGGATTTACTAATCAGAAATTAGAAACGCGATAGTGATTGAAGGGATAGATAATATGACTCCCTGGATCTACGCGACGCCGAAAAGATATACAGTCGGCTGATTGAAGATTGCAGCACTTTTCTCGATGAGTTTCGCAACGCATTCCGTGTTCGATAGGAGTATTTGTTTCTCAGTAATCCTCACAGGGAACTTGTGTTGCTATTGAATACGGAATATATTGCAAAACTCATCGAGAAGAAGTGTCGTTACATTCAATCAGCTGCGCAAAGAGAGGAATCTTCTTCATTTCGAATCAATTCATGTCGGGAAAATTGATTAAACTTCGAAAGTAGCGTGTCCAATGACATTGTTAAAATACCAATCACACTGGCGAGCGCGGGATCTCGACACTGTCGTTTACGCGATAACATAATGTCACGTGTTAGACACGCGCTCAGGACATGCTCGCGCACGGATAGATAAAGTCATCGATAAGCCGCACAATACGGGCGGACTATTTACTATATTTGCGATATCATAGGGCGAGTAATGGTTTCGCTTGACGTTACGGTCGGAAGGACGCAGCAGGGGGAGAGAAGATGGGAGAGAGCGAGAAAAAGAGAGAAGGCGAGAGGGTGGATAGGATATTCCGTGAGACTGGCTGTCATATTCATGTATTGACACCGAGCTGGTTGACTAATGGACTGCTGTTGTCACAGGCTCGTGTTACCGCGAGGGCCGAGCCTAGCCGAGTCGTTTTTCCTGAGAACCGACTGAAACGCATTCACGTCCACACGCGCGTCCTCGCGTGTATCGAACATTCGACTCCGCGCGACGAAATCGTGAGTCACTTACAGGACGGTGTGTAATAATACCGAAAAAACGATCTCTCTCTCTATCTATCTATCTATCTATGTATCTATCTCTGTCAATGCGTTATCGCATTCTCTTAAATACATTTTTTCTTTTTTTACCGCCGCACGCGTATTCCGCCAAACAACGTTTCAATTGGCCGCAAGTTACGCAAGAATGATCTAACTCACATGAAGCACATTTCGAGAAAAATGGAGTTGAAAATTTGATTAAAAATGTATATGATTGAGAAAGCACAGGTAGCATTGAGATTCTTCGCGATCGTTGAAGAAGTTAAGCATGGTCAATCTTCTTCTCTTCAAAGGTATTCATTGAACTTAACCTTTAAAAATGGGTAAAAAACGCAATTATACACACACACACACATATAGTAAGTATAAAAAATATTCGTATACCAGACCTTTTTCAAGACAATCCCTCGTATACGAATATTTTTTACACTCACTGTATATACATATATATGTGAATATATATAATAAAAAATTACGCAACTAGTAAAAAGTAAAAATCATTTTCTAATTAATTTTGGAGTCCATAAGGATTAAATCTTTTTTATTTTATGTAAAAAGATGGACGACTATCTCATTGGTAACAAAAATTTAAAAAATCATAACTATTTGAATTATTCTTGCCTAATCGTGGCCAATTTATATAATTTTCCCGGTGGTTAAAAGTACACGCACACGCCGACTATCAAAAGACCATCTCATTCGTTATTCTTGAATAGAACAGCACGTCGCGCTTCTAAAAGCGCGCGGACGTTCTTTCCCGACTTTTACATATTTATCGAGCCTCGCATTGTTGTCGCGTCAGACGAGACGTCGACATTGTCGAGGCTCGAAAATCCGCGATATTATATCTGCAAGCAGCAAGGATCCGGGATTCTGATCCCCGATCAAAGCCACACGAATTGTCCGCGTACTTTCACGTAGTGTCTCTGAATCTGCGCACTTAATCGGTCTGTGAAAGAAAAAAAGTGGAAGAAGAGGAAAAAGAACACAGAAAACCGCGGAGTGAATGAAAAGCTCGCGAATAAAATTGTCGATTTCACGCGCACGCGCTCGCGTGGATGCGATATCGACTCTTCTTATGTCAGCTTTTGATTTACGCGAATCCGAATTTGCACGGTGTGTTACAGGTAGCGCATTAATCGTGTAAATTGAGAGTTATCTGTACACGCCGCCTCACCTGTCCATTCGATATTTCATCGCCCGCGTTAACACGTCCGGCCATTGCAACAAGTAGCGCTCGCGAGATTTTCGTTTTTGAGGGCGCCGCTCTCCGCCGTGCCGCGATCGCGCACCGTGCAATTACGCGAAGCAGGTGGAAGAGCAGCGACTCGGGGGCGAAGTCCCGAGTAAAGAGCCGGGAATAGTTGCACGTCGCAGGAATCGAGAGGGTGGCTAAAGGGAATTGAGCAACGCGGTAACTATTCTATTACGACTCGACACCTGATACGAGTTTGGTTGGACGATCGCGGTTTTCGGCATGGTCTTGTCTACCTGCCTGCCTGTCTGTTTTCCTTCCTTCCTTCCTTCCTTCCTTCCTTCCTTCCATTAGAGACTCGAAGTGTCGGGTGCGAGTGGAACGCCAAGGTAGAGACGAAGGGAACGTCGAAGGGCGCCGGTTGAGGCGAAGGACCTTCCCAACGCGGAATAACGCGATACCCGGGACTTTATAGCGCGCGCGGCATCTCTCGCGCGGCCGCCTGATTTATCGACGCGTTAACCCTCGCGTGAAAAACCCGCACGAGGCGGCCGATGCACGCCCGCGAGATTACACATGCGACGTGAGTCGATGTTTGACTTCGCCGCGACGAAGTCAATTTTCTCGGGGCTATGTGCGCGAACGGCCCTGCCACCTGTAAACTTCTGTAAAGCGGCTGCGATTCGGCGTCCCGTAAAGATTAGCCACCTCCCGGAGCGCGGCTCGGACGAAGTAAAACTCGCACGCTCTCGTACTCACCTCGCACCTTCTGCTCGTCCTGTAGCTGCCGCTCCAGGCTGTCCTTGACCTCCCGCTCCCGAAGCACGTCCATTTTCAGCTCGGCTGTAACACACGCAAGACAATGGAAATTTATTTAAAACGTTCCTGCTATCTTCCTCCTTTCTCTCCTCTCTCTCTCTCTCTCTCTCTCTCCCCCTCTCTCTTGCCAGCAGCGACTTCATTCAATTCTCCAACTCGGCTCCTCGCCCGCACTCGTTACTTTTAATTGCTCGGTTACTTGGTTGGCACAAAGGCCCAAGACGACCGAGTGTCTCCACTCTCCATGAATAATTACTAGGAATGGTCTCATCTCGCAAGACATCGTCGAGCGAGAATGAGAGCGAGACATGGAGTTTAGGTTCCGGAAACGCGAAGGACTCGAAGATCGACCATAGCGAGTGGTTAATTTGACAATGAGAGTCTCTCCCAGCCATCTTCCCCTTTCCTCCTCTCCCCCGCCCTCCTCTCCAACAGCCCCTCCTTGTCGTCCCACCATCGTCCAAGAGGTGCTACGAGAGGATATCGCACGGTTGGGTGAGTTCGTGATTAAATCCAATGGCGATGGGCAGACCAGAGCTCGCATAGTTACCTCTAATAGAATTATATTAAGACATGGAGATCCTGTTTCCATCCTCGCCCCCTCCTCCCATCCCTCCGTTCCTTCCGCTTAGCTTACGTTCTTCGTCTCGCGTATACCACTTCCAACGTTCCTCTTTGTCTCCCCTCCCCCTTCCTTCTCTCTCTCTCTCTCTCTCTGTCTCAGCGCACGCTTACGACTCACAGAACTCCCCCGTTCCCGTGGGAGCCACCCGCGCTAAATTAGCCATTTCGAATCTCAGCTAGAGGGTCGTTAGGACGAGTCCAGAAACTCGTTGAACATCGCCAAGAAACCGTGAGCCACACGCGGCAGTCTCGCTCGCACGGTGACCAGTTTGCAGTCACTCCGTCAGCGTTGAAACTGACATGTTGAAATAAGCGTAGGCATATAAATGAGAGAATTAGAGAGCGATGGAGAGAGGGAGAGGCGCGTACGCGAATACAAATGACGTCTCGAATTACGGAGTAAGTCCCTCGGAAAAGTCGTGCCTCGGCGGCGGCGGTGACGGCGGCGGCGTCGGTTAAGGGGCTCGCGAAATCACTTTTCAGACGGTAACACGATAAAACGTTTCCGGGCTCTATATCAAGCGGGCTAATTCGGTTTAACGGAAGAAAAGTAACGCTGCGAAAGAACCCCACGGTTGGCAGGGCACCCTTCGCTCTGTCTCTTTCTTTCTCTCCTCGGGCCTCTCGAATTACATCGGTGGGCAATGAGCCACGTAGCTCGTAACGCACGCCGGCTCGCTGCCGATCCAGTCGCGCAGTCGTGGGACGATTCGCAGACTTGTCCGCTTTCCGCCGTTATTGGGGCATTACCGTCGATTAAAATCGAGCGTCTTGCTCTGAACGTATAGCTCCGTTCGCATTGAGCGTGCCCTTTTATAATTCCATGTTCCCGTTTTCCTTACACGCACCTTGCACCTTGTATGCTTACACAGCATTGTATCAGTTTGAGGATCAAGAAGGTGCATTCAGCGTTCGGATAAGCATCCAGAGTGCAGCCCCAAGTGACAGGCAGGTTGTCGTCAACATCGCTGTGCGTTGCACAACGTCGCATCCTCAATAAAGTCGGATAAAGGCGCGCCGTGATAAAATGATATCCACGCTCATTCGCCGCGCACGGCGTTTTCGCGCCTCATCGGGGAAGTTTAATAAAATTCGAAACAACGTTTAATCCGCTTATCACGTTTCGCAGGCTTTTAAAAGACTCCTCGCAGCCTCGTGCGCGCTACCGTCGCATTAGCAGCAATTATTTCCCGACCCAGCCTCTCTCGTCTCGTGGATCCAAAAAGTTCCTCGCGACATACGTTCAGGCCGTAGCGACAAGAGCGACGGGGAGAAAGAGAAGAGGAGAAGGATGGACAAAGAGGGAGGGACAGAGAGAGAGAGAGAGAGAGAGAGAGAGAGAGAGAGAGAGAGAGAGAGAGAGA